ACTTATCAATCAAAGTGTATGAACTGCTGAAGAAACTTTTGGAAACCCGGCTCATTGAGCACTTAAACGGTTATCAACAATTGTTTATGGGGATTTGTGAGACTGCCTCCGGAAAAAGAAGCAGAGGGCGATCAAGATGTCTTGGATTTTCTAAGTTTGGACTCTACAGACAACCAAGAATCTGAAAGGAGCTGTCTGAACGACGAGGGGACTCACGGATCTGATGACGGTTTTCCAAAGGAATATCCCTATGCCATCCCACATCGGTCCAGTGCTAGGGCGCAGTTCTTACATTGATGACATCGCTCACGGTGCTAAAACATGGGATCAGCTTTGTGAAGATCTGGACACGTTGCTCTATCGTCTACGTTACTGGAATATATCGGTGAGTTTGCCAAAGAGCGAGTTTGGAAAACGATCGATCCCCTATCTGTCACATGAGATTAATGCAGAAGGTATCCGAGCGATCCCAAAAGTTGCGAAAGGTGTTATGGATTTACCGTTCCCCAAATCTCACAAAGGTGTGCTATCGTTTCTTGGGAGTCTGTACTACTACCATAAGTTCATTGAAGACTTCCCGGTAGTAGCAGCAGTTCTTTATGAACTTTCAGAAGACCAGATACGTTAGGGACGAGACCTCTCGCGAGCTCATGAATCATTCGAGCTGCTTAAAAGGAAAGCCGTCGCGACGCCAATGTTGAGACATCCGGATATCCAAAAGCCATTTGTGATCATCCCACACGCGAACCGCTGGGCTGCTTGTGCAGTCGTAGGACAAGAATACGATGCAAGGATACAACCTGTTCGGTACACGGGACGCGTTTTGAATGATGCTGAGCTCCGGTATCACATTGTCGAGAAGGAGGTTATCGCTATCTTGCGGGCGTTACAAGTCTTTAGGACTATTCTGGAAGGCCGACGACTGATCATCTACACAAGATATTCTGTTTTGAAATGGGTCTTACAGTCTAAGTCGGCAGACGGGAGGTGCGTTCCTTGGGGAGTCACGCTCTCACATTGGGATATCGAAATCCGGGAGGTCCAAAAGGATGAAGACGGACTTGCAGCCATCATGGGAGTGGGGATCACACCCCGGGAACATTTGGATGAAGCCGTTGAGACGTTGATTCCCCTGAAGGGACTTGTTCGAAGGCCCCCAGTAATGAGCGTGGAGATGTTGGGAAGTGACTTCCGAGGAGTTGTGTTGAGTTTCGACGGTGCCGCAAACCTCTCCACCAAGAAGGGGAGCTGTGGCTGTGTACTATGGCAGTTACCCGGTTGGAAAGTTCTGAAAGCGAAAGGTTTCCTGTTAGAAAATGTCACGGTAAACGATGCCGAGTACTGGGGACTTCTCAAAGGACTCGAGATGGCCATCGAAATGAAGTTGCGAGATTTGGTCGCAGTGGGAGATTCTCGGATTGTTATTCAACAGGTTCAAGGACTGATCAACTGCAATCAGCCACATCTCCAAAAGCATCTTGCTAAAGTTGAAGTGTTGAAAAAGGAATTCGGATCGTTACGTCTGCTCCATCTGGAGAGGGAATACAATCAGGCTGCTGATTATTTGACCACGAAGACTTTGGTTCTGGATGAGTCATTGGAAGTTACGGACCCGACCGAGATCGCGCATTTGGAGCAAGTATCAAAGATTGCGGAGCAACTCATGAAAGTGGAAGACTCCGTTGAAATCTGGAGTTGATCCAACTTCTGGAGAAATACTGTCGAAGGACGTTGAACACCCTACTGCGGAGTCAGCTCCATCGACAAAATCAGCCGCGTGCTTGCAGCAGTAACGCGTTCCAGAAGCCAAGCCGAATCCGCTTCGAGGGACCGACCTATGAACCCTTTGGAATTCCAAGCTGAACGATGGCGACGCATCCGGGGACATCAGGACGCAGATGAGTACCTGTCAGAGATTAAAGACTTTCTGAAGGAGGACTTCGAGAAGTTCTCGCCCAGAAGACTGAGGAAGGTCGCCAAAGTTGCCGACCTGTTTGTACTTGACACTAGAGATGTGTTGTATCGACTAGCTCGCTCAACTCGCGATCGCCCGCGTGACTTTCAGGATGAACCCCGACTCGTCGTTCCAAAAGCACTCCGAAACGATGTCTTATATTATGGTCACGAGAATTTCCAAGGAGGCCACCAAGGCATCCCCAGGACAAGAATTTGTGCTCAGAATTCTATTGGCCTTGCATGTACGCGGATGTAGAACACTTTGTGCAGGAGTGCGTTGATTGTGCGAATGGAAAAGAAAACCTCCAAACGCTGGACCGTCGCCTGGGAATATCGAACCCCGACAACCTTTCGAAGTGGTTTCGATGGACTTTGTGACACACATGCCGAAGTCCGACCGAGGGAATACATTTTTGCTACTATTCCAAGACATGTTTTCTGGGTATGTGATGCGCAAACCGATGGATTCAACCACCGCTCAGGATGTTGCAGAGGCTTACGAGGAGCGTGTATTTCGGAACTTTGGAGTGAGTTCAATGATTCGGCACGATCAAGACCCCCGTTTTATGAGCGAGGTGTTTACTCGTTTTCGAGAACTCTTGAATAGTCGTCAGAGAGCTACTTTGGGATACCGGCCCCAAGCGAACGGACAACAGGAACGATCTGTCCAAACAGTCGTCAGGAGTATTCGTGCCTATATCGAGCAAGCCGACCAGAGTGACTGGGACGTCCATGCGGAAAGGCTGGTGCTTGCTTTAAATACTTCGTTCGACGCGACACGTTTAGATACCCCGTTTTACTTGATTCACGGTTGGGACCCACAAAGTACTCTGAAAGCGATGTTGGGTCCGAAGTCATCAAGTGTACCTGAATGGACTGCCTATGAGTGGAGACGAAAAGTTCAGAGAGACTATAGCTACGCGAAAGCGTGTGCCGAGGACTTGCAGAACAAAGCCCGACGACATCGTTCCGACCTCCAAACGAAGAAATGGAAAGAGTTATCCGAACGTCTGAGATCGGGTTTTCGGAAGGGGGATGCCGTGTGGTTATATATTCCAAAGGTGCAGACTGGACTAAGCAAGAAGTTGGCGCACTTATGGCATGGGCCTTTTCGGATTGATGAAGTATTGGATGATTTTAGGGTGAAACTGAAAGTTGACAGGACCGGTTACCGGGTTAATCCATGGGTTCATATCAGTCGCCTGAAGCCAAGAGCGTTGTTTCCCAAAAGACCGACAGTCAGTGCGGAGGTAGACGAAGAAGACGACTTTGATGCTGCGTTGCTCCCAGAAGACAATTGGGAAGCCGACGCCCAAAAGGATGAGTACGAGGTGGCAAAGATTCTGGATCTTAGATGATCTAAGAAAACTTGGACCTCCAAAAGGCGTCGAGAGTACCTGGTCAAGTGGAAGAACTATGACAATCCAGAATGGCTTCCTATATCCCAATTGAATTGTGGAGCGTTACTTTATCAGTTCAACCAAGGTGCGCGAGCACGTGCCCGCTTCCAGAGTATGCAAGCAGGAGATGCCCACCCGCGGAATTGACTTTCGAAAGGTGGAAGCACTGCACCTATGTGTGGAAATAACGAAAAGCAGGTGTGAGAATGACTAAGTGACACAAACTAGTCAAGGATATGGAGTGGCGAAGAAGGAATTTGGGAATTCATGAATGGAAGTGGATAAATGGCTGATATGTGTTGGAAAGGGTTGAGAATTGACAAATTATGGAAGATGAAAATGAAAAAAAAACATCTGCAAAAGGAACGGGCCAGAAACGGACTGCGCCAGACACCATCGTTTAGATATCCTCAGAAATCGATCCCCATTCCGCTTTTGGAAGAATTTTCTTGCGCACAGCTTCCGGAAGGTGAGCGATCTGCTCCTCAACGCTGTCGCAATTGGTCCATTGGAGGCGAGTCGGTTCAGCTTTGTCCAAACGCTGTAATTGTTCGCGTAGAGGAGACGGACTTTGAATGACAGGATCGATTTGACTCTTGTCCATGATAATCCAGTGACAAACGCGGTGGGGGATATCCCAAACGCTAACCTCCCATTCAAAGACAGTTGCTGGAACGCCCTTTTGGATGCAGCGCTTCTTGAGGGACTTACCCTTTTTGACAAGGGACTCATGACGTTTGCCGCGACGAGACTCTGCCAACACTGCGGATTCTGGAAGGAGTTCCAAAAGGAAGATGACCCAGTGTAACATTTCCCACTGGTGACGCATGGATTCGCACATGTATTCGACCCACGCATCAAGGGCGCCTTGTGCAGTAGGGGTCATCGCGGAACGCTTGTGCAAATATAGCAACTTTGGACGATTCCTCCACATATCTTGCCACGGCGCTTCGCGAAAGATTTCTCGGTATTTGTGGAAGTAGTCCGCGAATCGCCTTTGTAAGATATCCAAGTCGTGACGATTCGGCGTGTAAGATGGAAAGCCTGGCATCTGTCCAAAAGGTGAGTTGAGAGACTTGTCACACCACCTCATGCGTACTCCAAAGTGTACCCAGGAGCGAACCTTGTCGTTCCGAGGAACTTCAATGATCATCATTTCGTCTGCCGTCAAATGTTCTTTGAGGGCCAGCATGGTGCAAGTCTTCCGCTGCTGCTGCCGTTTGGCGGGGTTCTTCATTTCGGCAGGAGCGATACGACGACGTTTAGTCTTAGCCCGAGTGCTTTCGGAAGGAGACCCGTCCAGAGGATCGTCATCTTCATCGTCGTTGTCACCTCCTCCCCGTCGTTGGTCTAATTTTGGTCTGTCGGGTCATCCTGTTCAGGAACTAGATCTGTGGTGTCGATAGTGTCCTCCAGGACTGGTATCAACGCCCCCCAAATGTCGGGGTGCTCGTCATTCTCCAAACGTGAGTCCAATTTGGCGCGAGCTGCCACATAATACCGACGCGGGACGTACTTTGTCCAAGGAGTGAAGTCGAGTTCGTTCCAGAACATCATTCGGAGAAGCACCTCCAAAAGCGAACTTTGATGAAAACACCCATGCATGGGTCGATCCTCTCCAAGCCATTCCAAGGCACCCTCATAATTGATGCCGTACAAGATTAGAGCGCGAACATCCAGACGTAATTGTTTCCAAATCACCGGAAACGGTTTGAGCATCTCACGTGCAGCGTCAACATCTCGCAGCAAGAGATCTCTATCAGGACGACAGGATGTATCGGAGTCATGAACCCATCCAGATGGGTACTCTTGGATCTCCATGGGCATGTCAGATTCGTTTTCCTAGGACTTCTCGAGGAACGCTTGCGCTTGCCACTACTTTTGGTAGAGTCAGATTCGGAATCACGCGTGAGGTCTAAAAACGATCCCCGAGGAGGATCCTGAAAACGATCGCCATCCTTGCGTTCCTCGTCACCGTCTCTGTCCGGACGAGATACCAGGACGTATGCCGTAGTGGGCACGGAAGGGTCATCGGCTACCATGATCGAGATAGTGGTTTTCCAGGATACAGGTACTGAAATATTGTCCCGATAGTGCTCCAAAAGCGCACGTAAGCGTGACCACCGTAGGCTTAGCTGAGAAGCGCACTCAGAAAATTCATGATGTCATCGACGTCCATGCGAGGGCGTTGAGACATATCGTTCCTCGCAGGTACGGCCCGAAGCTGATCCTGGAGAGAACAAACCTGGGCCTGAAGGCCATGGAGGTTAGC